GAAAGGCCTAACCAACAAAATCAATAAACTAACAACTTTATCAGATGAATAACAAGTATTCAGATCCGGAAGATCTTGCGTAGACGCCGTATTTGTACTAAGACAAATCACAGAAAAGACCATCGAGTACAATAAACCAGCATATCTATGTTTTATAGACCTGACAAAGGTTTTCGATCGCATCCAAGTCGAAGACGTCTTACACCTACTGTATAAACGAATCATACGAATTAATATTATACAAAACATCGAAATCATCTACTTCCATAATCGAATACAGGCAAAGATAAATGGAAAACTAACACAGTGTATGCCAGTACAAAGCGGAGTCAGACATGGTAACTCGTTAAGCCCACTTCTCTTTAATATAATAATGGACGAAATAATACAAGCAGTATGTGAAGGTCATGGTTACAGAATAGGGAACAAAGAAATTCAAATATTATGTTATGCAGACGACGCAGCATTAATCGCTGAAACAGAAGACGAGCTCCAAAGATTAACACATATCTTCAATACAAAAGCCAAGAAATACAATATGATAATATCAGCAGAAAAAACCAAATGTAGTACAACATTTAAATACCCACTATGGTTTAAATCGAAATTGATGGGATAATAATAAAGCAGGAAGAAAGGTTTAGATATCTGGGAATAGATATAACTTACGGAGATGTTGAAGAAGTACGAGGACAAAGTTTAAAAGCAAGTAAAGCGGCGGGTTCTCTTAATGACACAATCTGGAAGAACAAACACCTAAGACAAGACACAAAAACAAGAATCTATAAAGCAGCAATTAGACCTATATTAACATACACGGCGAAGATTATTAAATAAATACTCGTGAATAAAGAACAAACCTGTCTATGGTTGACAGCACGATTGATGTATGTCAATGTCAACGTTTTTAAGATGGTATCGTAATGTAACCACTTTTAATTATGTATTTATGTATCACGTTTATTTGAGTCATTATTACAATAAAATATCAACACATTCTTTTATTTTCTATTCATCAATATAACATTGGTTATGGGCCCAGAAGTACAAAGTGTGTGTTGATTAAGAAAAGATAAAAACGTGAAAAGAGGCTAGTAAAGGCACGTGGTTGTAAAAGTTCAAAAAATGGAGAAGTCAACTGAAAACAAATATGGCATAATACCTTTTAATGGAAACAGTTTTGACAACTGGAAATTTAGGTTGTTTTCAGTATTGAAGGCCCTGGAATGTAGTGAAGCTTTGAAGCCGGTTCCCGCGATTGATAGAAATGATGAATGGCATAAGAAAAACAATAAAGCATGTATGGTAATTATTCAAAGTATTGCTAACTCGCATTTGGAATACATCAGAGAAGTGGAAATAGCTCATGAAATGATAAAGAAACTGGAAGAATTTTTGATAAAAAAGTACGTGTTCTAAGTTCTATTTGTTAAAAGAATTAACAACGTTAAAATACACCAATGACATAGATATTCAGGATTATTTCTCAAGATGTGATCGACTGTTCAGAGAACTTAAAAATCTGGGAAGTAAATTTGATGAATCTGATATGTTTTGTTTCCTATTATTGTCAATGCCACAAGAGTTTGAAAATGTAGTTACATGCCATAAGAACTTTATCAGAAGATGATTTAAAAGTAGAATTTGTGAAAAGTAGGTTCTTGGAATTTCATTCCAATAAAAATTCAAGAAGCACAAAAGTTTTACCTTCATCTTTTAGTGCAACAGAAAAGCAAGTAAAATGCTTTAAGTGTGAAAAATTGGCATGGAAGAGTGTATGTGGCATAAATGTTTCAACTGTGGTAATATGGGACACAGAGCAAGTCAATGTTTACTCAAAAAGCAGAATGTGAATGACAAACAAAAAATTAGAAACATCTTTATAAAAAAGATAATAATGTTTTTGTAATAGGTAAACGTCTTAATAATTTATATAAAATTATATTTAAAATCAATGTTGAATCTAACATTGAATCTGCAAATTTTAGCACTAAATATAGATATTTGGCACAAAAGGTATGGTCATTTGAATTATGGTTCTATTTCAAAAATTAAAAATTAAATATAGTTAATGGTTTAGAGTTTACCAAATCAAAGGTTGATAAAGTTTGTGATGTTTGTGTACAATCGAAACAAAAATGTATTCCATATAATTCGAAAATATCCAGAAGTACTAGAGTTCTTGAATTAGTTCATACAGATGTATGTGGTCCAATCACACCAACATCGCGTAATGGTTATAAGTATTTCATAACGTTTGTTGATGATTTTTCTAGGATTGTCATATTATACTGTAAAAGGAAAGGACGAAGTTTACAATTGTTTTAAAGATTATACAGCGAAAGTGACATCATTATTTTGTAATAAACCTATCTCAAAATTAAAATGTGACAATGGAGGTGAGTATTGTTCTAATGCAATTTTAAAGTTTTGCTCAGAAAAGAGAATTCAAATATCATACACTCCACCGTACACTCCCCAAATGAATGGAGTTGCAGAACGAATGAATCAAACATTAATGGGTAGAACAAGATGTATGATAAAAGAGGCAGGAATAAATAAATGTTTTTGGGGAAGATGCAGTTCTGCAGAACAGAACGCAATCTTGCTTAATACAGAATAAAAGTCCTTTTGAATTGTGGCTTGGTAAAAAAGCCAAATGTCCTCAAATATGCGAATATTTGGCTGCATAGCATATGCCAGAGTACCAGATGCTTTGAGAAAGAAACTTGACGATAAAGGAGTGAATGTGCCGATTTATTGGTTATACAGAAAATGGTTACAAGTTATGGCAAGAACAAGAAAACAAGTACCTAGTATTCGATGAAAATAATTTTATGAATAAAAAGGAAAAAGATCTGAGAAGAAACAGAGAAAAAGAAGATGAAGAAAATTTATGATACATAAGAAAATAAAATCGAAGAAAGAGAAATACAAACTGAAGCTGGAGGATGAAGACAAAAAGTCTGATAGTGAAGAAGACAAAGAAGAAGATAATAAAAAGGATAATGAAGGAGTTCCTTCTGGAAGTACCCAAAATGGCAGACCACGAAGTGTAAGAAAATTACCCGGAAAATATGACATTTATGAATTAGATGCAGTAAAGTGTGATGAAGAATTAGATATAAGCTGTTTGGCACTACTTAGTGAACTAACAAATGCACCGAAGTCTTACTCAGAAGCAAAGAAAGTTCAAAATGAAGTTCATGGAAACAGGCAATTGAAGATGAGTTGGATGCACTGAAAAATAATAATACTTGGGAATTAGTTGAGAAGACATCTAATCAAAAGGTAATTAGTAATAGGTGAGTTTTTCGTTTTAAAGGAAAATGATGTTGGTAAGCCTGTTTATAGAGCCCGATTAGTTACACGATGCTTTGAACAAAGTCATTTTAATGATTTTTCACAAATACATGCTCCTGTAGCAAAGTTGTCTACATTAAGAATAATATTGTCTATCTGTAATCATTATTAATTTACTATTGTTACAATTAAATGTGAAAAATGCTTTCCTGAATAGTTCTCTGAAAGAAAAACTTTTATGAAAATACCTGAAGGGCTTACAGTTTCGAAAAATGATCAAAATAAAGTATGTTTATTGAATATGGCAATATATGGTCTCAAGCAATCCCCAAAGGCATGGAATGAGAAATTTAATGAATTTATGCTACTGTTAAATTTTAAACGTTCAAAAACAGACTACTGTTTATATAGTTTTATTAATAAGGATATAAGATGTTACTTGGTGCTTATGTAGATGACATTTTGATGGCTTGTAATAATGATGTATTTTTGAATTATTTGAAAACAAAATTGTGTGAATCTTTTAAAATGAATAAAGTAAGCAGTCAGTTTAACTTTTTGGGAAAAAGAATTGACAGAGATTTTGAAAATAGGATCATAACTCTCGACCAAATACCTGCAATTGAAAATCTTGTGAAACATATAATGTTGAAGACAGTAAAAATTTTAAAACACCAATTGAAAAGAATTAAAAAGTTTAAAACAAAGATAAGACCTGATACAGCTAAAACAAGACGACTACTAGAAACAACAGAGATGAAAATACTCCGACGAATATCAGGGAGAAGTCTGTTGGATGGGGAGAGAAGCGAAAACTTAAGAAGAGCATGCAATAAATAGACTTAAGAAGACATAAATAAATAGGTTAAAAAACAAAACAGGAGTGGAACGAACACATTAGTAAAATGGCAGAGGATAGAATTGTACTAATAGCACGAGATAAGTCACCAAATGGACGAAGAAGTATTGGCAGACCAAGAAATAGATGGTGCGATAATTTAAACAATTTAAGAGGCTAATATTGAAGAAGAAACAGGCTTTAAAGCCTACATACAAGAAGAAAGAAGAAGACTACAATACCATACCATCACGCTTGAAATCTTACAATACAAAATTTTAAGAACTATTTTTGTTAATTCCATGTGGCTTAATGCAGCTGAGTCGGAATGTACAAAACTACAGCCTAAAAAGTGCGGTTGGCATTTAGATGATTATGTAAAACCAACAGGATTTATTGGGGACCAACCGCCTGTGAAAGTGCAAGATATTCTCGAAATAACGGAAAATGATGGCGAATGCAGCGAAGGCAATAATGAAAATTTTAGTTCCGATGAATCAGAAATAGAAAAAAAAAATCACTAATTGAAATCAATGTTTTACAAATGTAATATTTACATTTATGGTTTAGAATAATAAATTTTTTGTACTGAATAAAATATCTTTAAAATCATTTTTTAATTATTAATTAATTACAGTCTGGAAACAGTTATATTGGGCACCTCTTGTTTTTTATTATTTTTGATATACTAAATTACCTATCAAATAATTCTTATCCATTAAATAGATCGGTGAAAGTCTTTCTTATAATATCGGATCTTAGACCAAAACTAAAATATCAAAAAATTTTATAATGAATAATTAAACATCAAAAAAAGAATCTATTAATTGTCTTATAAAAGAAGAAAATATTGTCTTACCGGGTTGCAGTAAACTAGACGCTTCATTGAGTTTTTCTTCTGTCTCCATGTTTTACTACAGAAAATCGTGGTACGAAATTTTATCTGCAACTGCTTTAAACGAATGTGATTCCTTCACTCATAAAGAAATTATCTATATCTTCGTTTGTATATGTATTACATAGGACTTACCATAATAATATTATCTCTCTTAAAATAGCAAAACATGTTCAACGACAATCATTAAATAAATATCAGATTAATAGTTAGTGAATGATCCTAAAAAGCAAGGAATACGTTGTCACCAAAAAATGTGTAAGTAAACTTACCTTATCAATTACGGTAGTGTCTAGACACACAATTAAATAATAATCGAAGTATTAGTTATATACAGGGTGTTTGACCGATAACATACTAGACCTTATTCAGCTAAGAAGAAATTGTAAAAATAAAGATGAGAGTCGATAGGTATAGAGAAATATATCGACAAATAAGATACGAGATTAAGCGAACAAAAGAGGCCTGGATGAAACAGTGATGTAATGAAATGGAAGAACTACAAAGAAAACATGACGAGTTTAATATACACAAAAAACTTAAAGAAATTACCTACACTCTGAGAAAAATATCTCCTCACTTTATGAGAAACTCCAAAGAAGAATGGACCAGCTACATAGAAGAGTTCTTCCTATGTACGAAGCCATCTCTTAACACCACAAAGTATACGAATACTGGTCCTTTTACTACTGGAATACTAAGTATTTTAAAAGCAGAAGTAGAGAAAGGCATCACACAAATCAAAAAATGGGAAATCTCCAGGCCCTGACCAAATACCATCAAACTTCTAGGCGAAGACAATGTCTCAGAACTAACAAACATTTATGACCACATATACGAAACTGGAACACTGCCACAAATATGGTTGGAGTCTACATTTACCCACTTTCAAAAAAACCTAATGTATCATCATGTAAAGACTTTAGACTAATTAGTCTCATGAGTCACGCTGTCAATCTACTTCTTAGGATAATTCTTAATAGAATCAAGCAGAAATGTGAAGACACAATTGGAAATAAATAATTCGGTTTCAGAGAAGAATTGGGAACAAGGAAAGCTTTGTTCTCAATGCCAACACTACTTGAACGATCATGGGAAGTACAGAAACCAATTTACGTCTGTTTTATAGATTTTGAGAAGGCGTTTGATAGGTTTCAACATAGTAGCCTGTTTGAATATCTAGAAATGATTGGAATAGATGATAAAGATCTGAGACTTTTACAACATCTATATTGAAATCAAGAAGCTTCTATTCTGGTAGACGGCAAAGAAACAGACAAAATTCGTGTTTAAAGAGGTGCTCGACAGGGTTGTGAGTTGTCCCCAACTTTTTTTAGCGTTTACTCTAGATAATATATAATTAATAATAATAAATAATAATAAATAATAATATAATAAATGTTGTTAATAGAGAAACTATTAACAACATCAGATATGCAGACGACATCTCGATCATGGCTGAAAATATCGAAGATCTTCAATTCCTTATAAATCGTGTCACTAGAGAATGGCTCTAATAACGGACTAAGCGTAAATACAACAAAAACAAAGTTACTTGTGGTTAATAAACAAGGCCTCGACGCTATACAACTAAATGTCAATAATGAAACTTAGATCTATTCTGAGCAATTCTGAACTTACAGCTGAGAATGAAGTTCCTAAAATGTTTATGCGTATCCTGTATTACTATATGGATGTGAAACCTGGATTATGAAGTTTAACATGATGAACAAATTAGAAACCTTCGAGATGTGATTATATCGTAGAATGCTCAGAATATCATGGGTTCAACACATTTCAAACAGAGAAGTCTTGAACAGAGTTGGTCAAGGTGAAGGTGACTTAATAACGATGATAAAAAAGAGAAAACTCGAATATCTGGTGCATATTGTAGTATCGTGAGAAACATATCGTGTAGTTTTTTTAGTTTTAGATAGTTTTAGTTTTTAGATAGTGGTCAACGTTTGTTTAATTTGTTTTTATACTTATAGTAATAAAGCGCCTAGCGACAACTAAAGGCCGTCCTTTTATTTATTTACTGCTCCTCGGTCACAACATAAATTGGCGACGAGGATGGGATAGAGTGTTAGTAAGGGATTATAGGTATCCTAATAAAAGGAAATGGGTAGAAGGAGTTATAAATGAGGTTTTATGAGATAGGCATTATATTTGTGAAATTGTTAATGAAAATATATTTTGGAAGCGTCACGTGGATCAGATATTGAAAGGAAAATTCAATGAGTTAAGAGGTTTAAACCAAACTGTTGAAAATAAATTAAGCTTAAATGATTTTGATAGATCTGATCCTATGACACCTCTTTATGATAAGACACCTGAATTAATTGTATCAGATTGTATTGGCGACATTAGTTTCATCAATGATGAATATAGGAAATAACAGTGTCTGTAATGAGGAACCGGATAGTAGTGATAAAGTTAGTGAAAGTGTAGAGGAAGAAACTTTAGATAAAGCTAATGTTGTGCCAGTGCGATTCAAAAGACTGATTAAAGCTCCCGATCGTTTGGATCTTTAGAGGGGAGGTATTGTAGTATTGTGAGAAACATATCGTGTAGACCTGGCTTAACACATATGACAGCTGTTGGTCACACTGGCTCCGGCACAGGGGGGACGCTATGTTTTTCTGTGAATGAGGGATAACCTTAGCTTTTTTTTAGGTAGTCGTCAACGTTTGTTTAATTTGTTTTTAAACTTATAGTAATAAAGCGCCTAGCGGCAACTAAAGGCCGTCCTTTTATTTATTTACTGCTCCTCGGTCCACAACACATATATGCGAGGAAGCAGATACAGGTTAATGCAGTTGATACTCAACGGAAATATCGACGGAAAAAGAGGAATTAGTAGAAAGAAATACTCATGGCTCCGGAACCTTCGTCAATGGACTGGCTTATCAGCAAAAGAATTATTACATGCCGCGCAAGATCGAAAACGATATCGGCAAATCGTTATGGAAGCTACCCACGCCTAAAACTTGGACACGGTACTCAAAGAAGAAGAAGATAGGGTGTTTGCGAAATAATACCAATAATCTTTTTCTGGACAATTAGTTGTTTGAATTTCTGCAGATGTAGATATACCGAATTTTCATTTTGAGCTTCATTAAATTTAATTAACATATTCCTACTATCAGAGCTACATAATGTAGATGCTATCTGTGCTGTCTCACCTCAACTCTTCCCAAAGACAGAGTTTAGACATGTTTTATGTGTAAAATCTACGTAGAACCTATTACAATGTATTATATAGGTATATAAAAATACAAAAACAACAAAAAACATAAAATTTATTTGATTAAAGAATTAAATTTTCTTCTTAACAGCAAATAATGGATGTGGTGATCTAATCTAGATGATTATGTAAAACCAACAGGATTTATTGGGGACCAAACGCCTTAGAAAGTTCAAGACATTCTTGAAATAACGGAAGATGATGGCAAATCAGCGAATGCAATAATGAAAATTTTAGTTCCGATGAATCGGAAGTAGAAAAAAATCACTAAAGCAAGTAATGGATGTGGTGATCTAATCTGAAAAAGATGAGGCCTCAGATCCAGAATCTATTTCTATCATTAGGTCATTCTGGTCATCAACATTCTGCGTTTTAATGTACTGATGAGCAGTTGTGAGGTTTTTATTTTTCATGAGTCGCCAGCTCAGTCATGGATTTGTTTACGTCTAACAATTTTAAATTGTAAGCAATAAAAGTTATGTTACCAGCCCATTCAGCAGTAAACCGGTTTTCGTTTAGAGGAGTGGATAAAACCATAAGTAATGAAACTTCTTTCAGTCGCTGCACTGGATAAAGGCATGCTTAATATATCCACTGATATTTTAGTTAATTTTGTTCAGAAACATGTAGCTTTTCACCAAACTCAGTTCCCTCAACTTGCTCTTCTATGTTTAAATGAACATCATTAAACTTAGGATCCAATATATTTGTTGCCAAATGGATTAAATGTATTGCCATTTGTTTCATTTTAGAGACAAACATTTTGATTGGTTTTTCTTCTTGTTTCCATAATGGACTTGAAGACAGTTTACAAAATAGTCGTCTAATATTGGATATTGTATCCGATATAAGAGAAACGCATATTTTATATACATGTACAATGTAAATAATTCATTTGTTATTTTGGTAATCACAAAATATAACTTTTATTTCAGTAAATGTTATGTATTATCCTGAAAGGTACAAAAATAATTAATACAAGGTAAATAGTGACTATCCATTCATGAAAAATTCGCAAATAAAATTATTGTTGTCTTCAGCTCGGCCGCAAGCTTCGTAACACCATTTGTAGCATTTACATCAGCAGTACTATTAAAGCAGTAGATACATTTCACATCCTCTTCTTTTTGATCCAGTCATCTTCAGAAACCACAAATTTCATTTCTTGCTCAGGCTTTGATGAATCCGAAGAAACGACTTTTGTTTTCCTTTTATTTTTGGATTTGATTATTTGCTTAAGTTTTTTGCAAAAATTGATGCCAGCTTTTATGTTTTCTTTCGTTTTCTTTGATTCTCTACATGCATTAGAGTCAAAGTTTACCACGTTCTTAATGCCAATTGCAGTAAATTAAAGCAATTGCACCAGACTTCTTTCGTTTCATTCTTGATGGACCAGGTAAAACAGGCAAAGGCTTTAGGTCAGCTAGTTTTCTAACCAGCTTATTTTATTGGTAGGTATTCTACCAGGTTATACAGAAACGTCTTGTAGAATGATAATTTGTTTTGGTTTCTCAATACCATTTGGAGATTTATTTTTATTATTACTGTTGTCACCAACAAAGGAAATTTCTAACTCGTCATGGATTGCAAAATGTTGGTCTTGGAAAAATTTCCATTGATGCTGTCTTAAATATGCTTTTCCAAATAAACGCAATCTGGTACCGGGAAATTGTTCTTCAAGGATTATTTCTTACCTAGTTTTTGATTTGTTGGTAATAATATATTGTCTTAAAGGTTTTTTGCCCTATCCAACGTAGTGTCAAAGAATATAGACGCTTATATTCGCGTATATAAGCGTCTATATTCTTTGTAGTGTTCCTGCAGTGGGATCTTAGGCTATTATAGATTAAAACAAAATAATAGAATAATTGAGTACGTTAAGATAAAAGTAAATACACACAATAACAGGAAACAAAGAAAATTGTTATATGCGTTAATTAGTAGAGTCTATAATAGACTCAGACAATAATTATTAAAGATAATAGGAAACTTACAAATAGTTTGAGTGTTAACTAGCTGGGTCTTTTATATTTAATATAAGTAAATCATACTTAAGGGAAAGCACAATTAAATTTTATTAATTATGTATTTCTAAAATAACAATTTTATATCTTTAACGTCTAAGCTGGCTGTAGAGTACAAAAAATAATTATAAGAAGAAGTACAATTGTCATATAATCTGTTTAAATGTCATATGTCATTCATAATTAATGTCATAACTTTTTTGAAAGTTAGGTTATAAAACCTAGTTTTGTGATCTATGTTAGGTATTTATAGTAAATTACAAAACAAATGACAAAGTTATTAATTATAATTTATATTATTCTTAAATAGACATAACCAGGAAAATGCCAGGTTGGTATTTTGATAAAAAAGAACTGAAAAACACACCTTCATCTCAAGATGGGATCGACTATAAGACTGAAATGCGATATCGTAAAGAGGGTAAGTTCTTTGTTTAATAAAATAAACGTTAACTAGATCTAATTTCTTTTTGTAAATGAATTCTTTAAGTGGCCTTGTGGCCTTTTGGTACATAGTATCAATAAAGTATATTTTTTCTCTCTAAAATTCTGTTTCTAAGAAATTGTAATAAGTAACTTGTAGTGTAACTTAAAAATTCAGAGATACCACATATCATCACTACACGCACAACCTGACACATTTTTTGGAGAAGTGAACCTGTTTCGAGTTCTTTCAATTGGTTACAAAACAATTGTAACAAAAAACTTATATAATTAGTTTCGGAAATGAATGTATATGGCCACAAGAGGACCATAAACATATTAAAGTAATTGTCCACGATTTTATTAGTTGGTTTTTGTGAGCTCTGATATATGTTTATTGTTTATATTCATATGATTATTTTTCAGGAGCCAGGCTGATTATAGATACTGGTACAAAAATGGATTTAGGATACAATACAATGGCAACGGGTGTAGTTTATTACCACAGGTTTTACATGTTTCATTCATTTAAACAGTTTCCTAGATACGTCACTGCCTGTTGTTGTTTATTCCTGGCTGGAAAAGTGGAGGAAACGCCTAAGAAGTGTAAAGACATTATAAAAACTGCCAGAAGTTTACTTAATGATCATAAATTTGCAACATTTGGAGAAGACCCAAAAGAAGAGGTAATATTATAGTATAACATTAATTTTTTGTACAAAGAATGCAATCTTGTGTAATTCTTATGTTCTGGGTAATTATGGCAATTTTAGCAACTGTACTAGCTACTTTCCTTTCAAAACTTTTCTGAGGTTGTCTTTCTTTGGCAGGGTGCATTCTCACAACCATTGTTCACAATAAGTCTTTTACATCTTAGTGAGTATTTTGATGTTGTCATATATTTGTTCTTTCTGCTATTACCCATATTGTTTTTTTTATTGTTGTATTGAAAATGTGAGTTAATCTTTGGTCTCAGCATTAAAAAACGTTAATGTTTCTTCACTCCCAGTATGCTATAAAAATCAAGGATCGGCCTGGATGGACCCATGTGTGTTTAAAGATTGGTTTATTAATGAATTTTGTCCTAGTGTAGCAAAATATTTAACAAGCTTAAAGTTAAGTCCAGTCAAGACTATTTTGGTGTTGGATAATGCACCAACACATCCTGAAAACATTCAGAGTCAAAAGAAGCCTGGAATAAAATATATTTTTCTTCCACCAAATGTAACAAGTATCATCCAACCAATAGATCAAGGAGTGATCAAATGTCTTAATAGGCGCTATAGGAAAAAACTACTTTCAGAAATCTTGGCTAAAATGGAGTTAGATAACAAAGGCCTAATGGAAGGTTTGAAAGACATAAACATTAAAGATGTTATTTTGATGATGTTTAAAGCTTTTAATGAATTAATAATTCATAATAATTAATCTTTCGACTTTCGACTTTTAATGAATTACAAAGTTCAACATTCGTAAAATCTTGGAGAAAAGCATGGTCTAACATAGAAAAAGTAGTTCAATCCAGTACTAATCCTGATGAAACCCCTTTGGAAGAGCCAGATTATTTTGCATCTTTGATGAATGACTTGCAAAAACTCTCAGACTCAAATGATTTCAACTGCAGGATTGTTGGAGCTGATGATGACTTGACCAATGACAATTTGACAGATGAAGAAATTGTACAAAGAAGGCAATACTGTTAGTCATGCTGATGCGAGAAATGCTCTACAACTGGCATCACTGTACATTGAGCAACAAAATATGTCAACAGCGGCAGATGTAATGTTCATTAAAAAGTGGCGTGACTACGCATTCAAGAAAACAATGGAACATAAAAAACAAAAGAAAATCAGACTTTTTCTATGTTTTCTATTCATAGTTATGTACATACATACACATGTATGTACTTATATACATATATATACATTTTATACATGTTTCATAATTTTCCATGTGATGTGATATTGTTAATTACATATATGTATGTACATACTACTTTTTTGTTTATAGATCATAAAATATATATATTTTTAATAGAGTTACATATGTAATGTATTTCTGAGGGTGGTTTTAAAGATTTTCAGTTTAACCGACTTTTTGATTATCCAACCTATGGCCAGGTCTCGTCATGGTCAGTTAAGAGGGTGTCTACTGTAATAGATTAAGATATCTCTGATATGGATGCTATCAAAACCTTGGATGCAACCTTTGTTAGGTCTAAGAAGAGTAAATATGACAGTTTTTTCTATTCAATGGCCTTTTGTGTGATGTCTTGTCTTATTTTAAACACAATTTATTGATTCTGTTTGTTAAGACTTTTTTGAGTGCAGTGTTCAGTAGATTTCTATCTCTATAGTTGTTGGAGTCTTCTGTGTATCCTTTTTATGAACATAAATATCATTCAGTATACTATTTCTCCATACATCTGGTATCTTCTATTTTAATATTATTTTTTTGGACAAGCTTTGTCATCTCTAGGGTTATAGTTTCTCATCTATATTTCAGGAGGTCATTAGTTGTTCTGTTGTGTCCTGGTGACTTACTGTTTTTTAGCAAAATGATTTCAATTTCGTGTATTCATTCAGGCAAGTTGTGTTATGTGTTTGTTTCTTTTAAATAGTGCTGATAAGTATCTCTCCCATTTGTTTATGGACGCTATTATTTTCCTTTAGTTTTATTTAAAGCTGATAGAAGACAAATAACTTTAGTTTTGAAATCAGTGTGCTCAAAGTAAAATGAAAAAATAAAAAACATTTTTGTGGTTTTTATTAGCCTATGTTTATTTATGTTTCATATTTTAGGTAATGACTTTAGAAAGAATTTTGCTTCAAACAATCAAATTCGATTTACAAGTAGAGCATCCTTATCAGTACCTGTTAAAATATGCAAAATGCCTAAAAGGTGACAAAGGTAAATTGCAAAAGATGGTTCAAATGGCTTGGACCTTCGTAAATGATAGTTTATGTACCACATTATGCCTCCAGTGGGAACCTGAGATAATTGCTGTAGCATTAATGTACTTGGCTGGAAAACTTAGTAAATTTGAAGTCATAGACTGGATAGGCAGGAATTCTAAACATTGCAGATGGTGGGACATGTTTGTAGAAGATGTTACCATGGATTTATTAGAGGACATATGTCATCAGGTAATTATTAATAGTTAATTATTTAATATAAAGTGCTCCTAGGAATAAATCTCAACAATACTGCTAATAGTTTAAGTATTGTATTTAATAATTTTATTAATAGTTGAAATTTAACACACTAAAATGTCAAAAAGATAAAAATAGCTATTGAGAAAAGGATTGAGTTCAAATGCTGTCACTTCCAGATTTTAGGACTAAAAAAAAGGAAAGAAATCTTAGGAGAACTTCTTATGTAGCTAAAATCCAAATTGTCTCCATGACATTAATTGTTATTCACATTTTTTGTATATCATACTGTGTATCACTTTTAAAAGTGTTTGCATGTTTTTCCATTTGATTTTTTTGGTATACTTATGAAGATCAAATTTAACCAGTTTTGTGGAATTTTACCAGTTCTATAGATTTTTTAAATATAGTTGTTTATAATTTTATTCCTTATTAATCCATAAGTTTTAATAATTTTGCACCTTCCTCACATCTTGTTAGTTCCTAAAGATTTAAAGATTGATGACTTCTTCAATTGTAATCATGGGTGTTTGGCATTATGTGTCATTAAGATTGTTATGTCATTCACAAAAGTTACTTTCTCACATCTCTAACTAACTAACACAAAGATCAAAGTGACATTTACCACACATTGTACACCCACCTACTTGAATTGCAATTTAGTACGGCACAACATTTCCTTTTTGGTCCTAAAACCTGAACAATCCAGTGATTAGTATAATCATATCTTATTGTATCCTAGACAAAGAATCATTTCCAGCAAGTAATTAAAATCAGCTATAAAAATTAAAATTTATAAACAAATTCAAAATTAGTTTAGAGTATAAAAGGTTATCTCTTAATTATTCAAGGTCGAGTTTTATGGCATTCCGAATTGAATAGAATGCAAGCTTTTTAGGTTTACAACAGTTTTGATTATTTGCAATCACAGTCTCTAAGATTAATTTCAGTTTCAACATTTTTTCGGTCTGCTTTTTCAGCAACCATCTATTAGACTCCCAAGCTTCCTTATTTTTGTGTGAAGATGAATTGATTGTTGCATCAATAGCATTGGCGGCAGCCTATCCTTGATCTAACTTAGCATACATCACTTTTTTTATTTTGAGTTTCAGTTTAAAATCTTTATTTATTATTTCTGATCATCATCATCATTTTTGTTACAGCTGGTTATGAGACTAAAGCTTTCTTTCAAACAATCTTTCATTATTCCCTGTCTTGAGCAATTCTTCTCTGCCCTCTAACTTCCGATAGATTTAATATTGTCCAGTACATTCAACTACTTGTAAAGATTTGTTAAAAATTGTATGATTCCGAATTACTTTTTCCAAGACAAGGTTAAACAGAACACATGATAGCCCATCTCATTTTGGACTCAGACATTGTGCTCTCTGTTCCTGCTATTGTTAGATCCATTAGGTGAAACTGAGGAGGTATTTGAAACTTCACATAGCCTGAAGCTGTAGTTTCTTTTTACTGAGTCACATGCAACTTTAAAACAAAATAAACTAAATATGTGGGGGTATCAACTTCAGAAGATGTCTCAAGAATTTGCCTCACTATAAATATTTGATCGGTTGCCCTAACTATTTGTTCGGCCTAGGCCTAGGGGAATATTCTTCCTTAAGCTCTACATATAAGGCATACAATATTTTGTATACCGTATTGAATAAGATGATGTCTATTATTGTAGGCATGAATTATTGCACACCATCATGTCTCCATTTTTTGAGAATTTTTAGTGCTTTTCTAATTTCTTATACAGTGGAAACTGACTCTTATGCATTTTCATTCATTCCAAGTATAGTAACATATATCAGATGTTCCTGATTGACAGTAAGAGGTTCTTCAAAATGACTCGCCCATCTGTTTAATATCTACCCTTTGCCACTAATTAACTGCTCGCTTAAGATTTTTATAATCTTCCGTGTTTAATCTTAGATATTTCCTAATTCTATTGATTTATGGCTCTATAGAGCATCAACTTTTCCTTAAGATATGACCAAACTGTGTAGTCCAAAGGATTAAAATTACATGACCGAGTAGGCCAATGAATTGGAGCTTCTATATCTCTACCGATCCATCGATTCGGATTACTACACCTTCTATTAAAGTGAGGTGGAGCTACATCGTGCATAAAAAATAAAGATCTTCGCTTGTTTAGCATTAAATTTTCAATCTCGAATGAGTGTTTATTTAAAAAATCAAGATACATATCACCATATACATTTCCAGGTAGAATATGATAACATATTAATTTGTTACCTAAAGTTGCTGCCCAAACATTAACTTTAAATGAATGTTGGTAATGTGATACCGTTTTGACTTATGGATTCTCATTACACCGGTAGTGTGCATTATGGGAGTTAAACATACCTTGTACCTTGTGTTACCCTTTTTGGAACACCCTCTATATATGTTTATCCGTTTAAATATACTAACTATTGAGATATGTAAAGTTGAAAGTTTTATTTTAACTTACATTTATTTTTTTTTTAGGTTTTGGATTTATATTCGCAATCAGATACAAATCCTCCAGACAGTCCCCCACTTGCTCAAAAAGGGCCACAAACACCATCACCAATACCAACAAGAACTTCAAATGGTCACGAAAAACCTTCTTCACCTGAACAGCCTCCTCCGGTTGTCAAAATACCGCCTCATCCCGAAGTGCCCCAATTTCCTTACCAAACTTTTACTTGCGGTCCCCCACCTACAGCTGTATATCCTGCTCCAGTTGCAACATTCGCGGCGCCACCAACCACACACCCCCCTCATCTAACGGGTCCGCCACCTGGACCACCTCCTCACATTACAGCTCCTCCACCAAACGTGTTTCCACCATTTGTAAACCATCCTCCACCATTTGCTCCTCCGCCTGGAGTGCCTGCTGCAGCTCCTCCACCATTTTTCCCTGCAAATGCCCCTCCACCCACACAACCTCCATCACACAGGCCATTCTATGCGCCTCCTACGTAGTTTTCCATTTTCATGATTTTATAGAACAAAAAGTTAGGAATATTAACCCTAATATGTTTTGTAATTTAAGAGTTCCATTATTCACAATTTGACCAGATTTAGACAATTCATTGCATTTTTTCAGTTTTGCGTTTGAAGTTTGTGATTTTGTGACTCCACCCACAATTCATCTTAAAGTCTGGAACATTTATAAAGTTTTTTATTGTTTTGTAAAACGAATTACTGGTTTACGTAGCACTGTTGTAAACTTACAGATGTTTGAAATGTGTCGAATACATTTTAAATATGTTGAAATAAGTTAAGTATTAAGTACTTTAGTTTTAAGATGTGATATTTTTTACTAATGTAAAAAATGGTTACTTCAAACAGTTGGATTTTTTGTTATTTTGTAAATTTCATAAATTATTTTAAAACATATGTAAATGAAAGATATATCTTGTAAGATACAAATGTATTAACAATATATTTTTATCAAAAATGTGTTTTTTTTTATAATCGTTCCGCAAAACTTTTATTATTTTTCAAGCATTAAATTTTCAATGCGCTTCTTCTCATTGTGCCGTTTCCCTTTGAGGTTGCGATCCAAGTGACGATAGTTAAACGTGAAGTGGCGACTCTAAAGATTTCGGTTAATATTTTGCCTAGCCATCAGGTAGATGTTTGAGCCAGGAATTGAATTGAGCCGGTATATATATATATATATATATATAATATATATATATATATATATATATATATATATATATATATATATATATATATATATATACCTGCATTAGACAGCGGATCGATGTTCGATCTTATGCTCTTTGATCGTTGTCATCAGCTCCTTGTTCTTCTGCATTATGTTAAGAACTTGTGTTTTGTTATTCTTTTTGTCCAGGAAATAGGTAGTATTCTTCTATAAAGGTACATTTCGAAAGCGTCGATGCATTATTCTAACGAAAGATTGGACGTCCAGCTTTCGCAGTTATAGTGGGAATATATAGCAAATATAAGTATACGGATTCGAAGTTTTAGGTCTAGGTCACGTCTGATAAAGAAGTTCTTCATGTCAATAAACGTATGTCTAGCCTGTTCAATTATTGACAAAATTTCCTTCGTCGAATTGCAATGACTGTTCAATAGCGTACCTAGGTATCTTTTGATGTTGGTTTGTGTTAGAAGTACCTTTTTACCGTTTTCTCCGAAGACAAACTTATAACATTTTTAAATACAAATAAACAGGAGAAAAATAAAAAAGCCTTGAAAAAAGATGACAAGACTTTCAAAATTAAAAGGTGACAATAAAAGAGCTCCATCGAGACCTAGAAGTGGCTCTAGAAGAAGACATTAAACTAATATCTTTAAATGCTAACGGTTTACTAAAGCATAAAGATACCCTGCAGATGTACAAAGATCAACAAAAAGTAGACACTTGCCTTGTCTCTGAAACTCATTTTACAAGTAGAAGTTATATAAAGTTAAAGATATAGTGTACATATCACACAGTTCATCCAGCAAATACTGTAAGAGATGGAAGTGCAGTGATTATAAAACAAAACATTAAACACCATGAAGACACTTCAATAAATATGAAATAAAACCAGGTTAAATCAAATAATTCAAAATATAAGCTAAGAAATTAAAAAATTAAACACTAATCAATCAACAAATTCTTAAGTGAGTTTAACTATGAAAATGATATTGATTACTCATTAAAGAGAGTCACGAGGAGAATAAGACAAAATCCACCCATTAGAAAATCTGATGGTGCATGGGCTAAAAGTAACCATGAAAAGCAAACATATTTGCTGATCATTTGAAAATACTTTTAAATCTCATGATGTGTAATCTGAGGTTGACAACTTTACGACAAAAAAATGAAAATATTAGAGAGACAATGCAATTAGTAACATTTAAAGAAATTAAAACTGAAATACTAACAAACATCAATTAAAAAAAGGCACCGGGGTATAATCTCAAAGAGGAGAAATCTTGAAAGTTGCGTAGGAAAGCTAGCTATCAAATCTCTTCAATACGTTGATTAAAATTAAATACTTCCCAAGATGCTGAAAGGTAGCGGAAATAACTATGATAGCAAAACCTGAGAAACCATCAAATGAGGAAACGTAATATCGGCCAATATATTTGCTACCATTGATTTCAAAATTGTTTGAAAAACTCCTATTAAAAAGAATAAAATCTCTAATAGTACAAAAATGTATTATCCACCTACATTAATTGGGGTTTAAAAGTAATCACGAAACACTAGACCAGGTCCACAGAATCACTGATCAAATAGAAAAAGCTCTAGGGGGAAAAAGTATGTTCTGGGTTTTTTGTGGATGTTGCTCAGGGTTTGATAAACTCTGGCGTAATGGGCTAGAAAACAAACTTGATTTACTTTTACGTCAAGAACATAGTCAATTGCAAAAATCGTATATTAGTGAAAGATTGTTTAAAATAAAATAGACTGTTAGTCTAACTTGAGAACAATATAGCTGGAGTACCCAAGGTAGTGTTTAAGGTTCATTACTTTATCTGCTGTAAACCTAAGATATACCAATATTAAATGTCTTACGAAAGAAATTAGCAGTTGATGACGAGGAAATTGAACAAAAGTAAAAATGCAAGAGACACTCAATGAGGTTAATAGAATTGAACATCAAATATAGAAAACTGTACTGGCTTCTTGGAAGAAAATCGGAACTGTCAATATATAATAAGGTACTGAAGTACTATATATAAAGTACTGAAGCTGGTATGGACAGATGGCATACAGCTCTGGGGATGTACAGAGCGAGTAACATCAAAATGATTAAAAGTTTTCAGAATAAAGTACTGAGAGACATTGTAAATGCTCCCTGGTACATAACAAGAAGCGACCTATACAGAGATAAGTGGGAATTGGTCGCAGATGTGAATAAAGTATTTGCAAAGAGTCGTGAAAACAGATTTCATGACCATCCAGACGTAGAGGCTATTCAACTACTGGATCAGCATGGAATAGTGAGAAGACTCAAGAGAACTAAATCTTCCGAATTAGTGTAAATAGTTTATGTATAAAAGTCCTGTGCGTGTTAAGTGCTAGTTAAAAAAAGCGCGTGCATACCTTACAGTCTGAAGGAGGTCACTTGTTAAATGATAATATTGTGTACACGGAGGACAGCTTGTATTTGCATTTTCGAGAACATCATTAATTTCGTCTTGGTGATGTTCACATATAAGTCGATCACGATCGGCCCAGATAACGATAACTAATTTCGTTTATCGTCAAAAAGCGACGTCGCTTTGAAGAATTGGCCGCCACAAGTCAGTTATCCCTGTGGTAACTTTCCTGAGACCTCTTGCTGAAAACTCTTTAAGTCAAAAGGATCAATAGGCCTTGCTTTCGCAGTCCCTATGCATACTGGACATCAGGATCAAGCCAGCTTTTGCCCTACGCGAGGTTTCTCTCCTTGCTAAACTGATCTTACGACACCTGTGTTATTTTTTGACAGATGTACCACCCCAGTCAAACTCCCCGCATGGCAGTGTCATCTAATCGAATCAGGCTGGAGGTAAGTTGACGCTCGAAACGAAGCACACGAACGCTAGCCAGGTATCCGAAAGGCAATACTTGTCGGAACCACGCAACGAAACGTCACTCCGTGCTCTTGGCTTAAGAATGCCGTGACAGTCGCCGCCTTGTGAGCGAACGACGCACGCGTTTCGCCTTACTGAGTAAGTTAAGAAACCATGAAGTTTTGAAAAATTGTTTTGACGTTGTTACTATTGATTTTGACTTTGGCTAAGTTATTGTCTGAATACAAATTAAAGAGTAGTGAGGATAGTATGAATCACTGTCTTACCTCCTTTAGTTGGCTATCTCCTCTGATATGTTACTCTCTACCCTTACTTCAGCTTCCTGATGCCAGTAAAGTTCCGTAATGAACATATTAAAAACGTTTTACCAAAGAATATAGACGCTTATAGAAGGATCTTTCACTGTTATGTTTGAAAGTTGGCAAAAGATGATCGCACGTTATGAAAAAGAATGAGAGGGTGGATCGAGGTTTTAGTACCAGTAGGAAGCGGTCATGTCGGCGCTACTATTGCTTTTAAAATATGAAAGAGTGGGGCAACAAATGCAACAGATATTTTTATGTAGATGCCGCGTGGCCGTAGAATAGGATTAAATTTTTGCGTCTTATAACATTTTTTAAAGAAAATAATATTTTAACTTTTAATAAATGAATCCTATTAGAAAAAATATTATAAAATCTACAAATAATATACTTAAAACTCTCTTCTTATTAACTATAAATAAAATTAATTCAATGAATAAAGTCATCAATCACCGGAATTAAATATTTCCAAATTTTCTAAATTTAATAATTTCTTCTTCTTTGTTTTTAATATAAAATAACATAAAATGTAAAACACAACACTGTTTTTCTGCAGAATAATGGAAAATTGTCTAAAAAGTGGAAAATTAAATTTTTGGTAGAAAAATCTTGAAATTTTTAAAAAATATTTCGTTAATTTTTGGGCAGAAAAACAGTATAATAAAAATTTATGTGGCGGTTTTTCGTTGTGTTGGAACAAACCTATTTTTAATTCAAAATTATAAACTGTAAAAAATAAATGCTTTGAATATTGTAAATATCATACCTTTTTAAATTTCAAAATTAAAAAATTTAATGTATTAAAAATAAAGATTTTATTGTGCAAAAACCAAAAAAAGCATGGGAATTTTTTTAATCGTAGATGCAAAATTAAATAAATAGCTCCGTTCGTACTCCTTTCCCACTTTCCCCTAACTATATCTTTTATGATAGTTTAAAGCCGACTGACTGCCAGATGTGTTTAAAAGTATAAACCGTAACCAAATCGCCCATTTGAACTGTTCTTCTATAAGCGTCTATATTCTTTGGTTTTACGATCGTCTATAAAGTAGGCGTCTATTTCCATGTGCATGTCCCGGGCTTTCTGTATATGTATGTTGAGCGAGAATAGAGCCTATAGAGTTCCAAAACCACTTGTGAAGCCGACTTGGGTATAGGAAACTTGCTGTTTGCATTTCTTGTATATACGAGTGTGTATGACTAAAGGTAAGGTGACAAAAGTTGACTTTTATCACCAGTCTGAGAGAGTCTTGATTTTCATAGCACAAACCGTCTTTTTATTTCCATAACTTACTCCAAAGTAAGAAAAATTATTATCTCTTATTGCCTTAAACATTGTATCCAATTTAGGAAACCTTGTTTAAATAGAACGACGGGATCATATCGGTTGTTGCATCGTCTCTTGTCAGAAATGACGCAACGTAGCGCTATCGCCTAGGTTTTCCAGTTTCCTCCCTGCATATTTGCATTATTTATAGTAAACTGAACACGTATCTTCTTCATTAGGGTCTCCTTTTACAAAAACTCCTTTTAAAATGGCAAACAGTTTATTTAAATTTTAATTACAATATAAAATTGTTACATGATCACTTATAAATATAAAA